TAGGCTTCCTTTTTGTTTTATTGATGGTTTCTTTTGTTGTGAAAAAACTTTTAAGTTTGATGTAGTCCCATATGTTCATTTTTTCTTTTACTTCCCTAGCCTGTGGGGATGTATGCTTGATCCCACTTTTAATAGTGTACCTCCAAGGGTTTCCTGAGCCTCCATCCTTATTTTGTCATCATTTTCAAGGGAGTTCAAGTGCACAGCAGTGAAGGACAGTGGACAAAATAGTATGTGATTTTGTGCTCAACTGCATGTACAGACGAAAGATGAGAGTAAAATCATGGTGCCTAGGACCACTCAGAGGTAGCTTCATGGGGAAAGAAGAATGTTTGCTTGAGGGTAGGAAGAAAAGAGAGGTCATAGCTAAGGTTCTGCTTTTGTGACTTAATTTTCATTCATGGCGTCCATACTGAAACTCCTGGAGATGAATGATGCGAAAGAGGACGCAAGGCAAGGGTGAAAGGAGCACGGAGCTCAGGCACATAGTAGTAAGTCAGTGTGCGTCAGAGCAGCCAGCCGGATGTGTGGAGACTTCACCAGCTGGAGGTCGGTCGGGAATTATAAGCTTCTTCAGTAGAGCCAAAGCACAGCACATGTGCCGTGGGGCAGAAGCCTTGTTAGGCACCCGTACCCCCTGCACACTGCATCCCCCAATGAACAATGCAGTTACAACGAATCTTCGGACAACCTGGGTGTAGTGGGTAGCCTATGCTTCACCTGGAAGTCTGACTTGTTTGTTCCCTCAACTGTGTTAATATGTCTGAAACGCGTTAGCCTTTGGATCTAGATTTGAGCCTCCTCACATGTTGGTGGGGTGCGTGATATTACTGGTCCTTGCACTTGAGCTGACATGATGCATCCGTCCATAACACACCTGCTGTGTGCTCGTGGACAAGGCCCAAGAACTGACCTCTGGAGGGAGCGGCCATGCGTTCCCAGTTCCCTGTCTCAATTTGGTTCCGTGTTGTTCTCTTCTTGCAAAACGCCTGGTGGGAAAAAGCCGGGAATGCAGCAGAGAAGAGGCCTCCCAAAAGCCCCCTGGGAATTTGAAAATGAAAGTTTCTATGGATTTTATCCTTCTGTTGACTACACCAGTGTGATTTTTGGCGAGTTATACAACCTGAAGATAGCCAATTACCCACACTGTACCTCTGGGTCTTCGTCTGAAAAGAGAAAGGATGAGGAAAGGTGACTTTGAGCTTTTCCACCTCAAAGATTTGAGAATTTGATAATTCCTCAGTAGTAAAGTCAGATTTTTTTTTGACGCTAGAGCAGTGGGTTTGTTCCCCTATATGAATTCAAGCCCATGGTCACGACTTATTTTCCTGGATAGAGACGTGCCAGGTTGGTCCAGCCTAGTGGAGTTTTCTTAAGAGATTAGACCCAGCTGCCTGGCCCATGCTCACAGCCTCCTCTCATTCTCACCCATTCATTTATCCATTCATTCAACACACATTTGTTGAAGGCCCGTTATGTGCTAGGTACTAACCTTTAGAACCCGATCTGTGGCTTTTTATCCACCTTCCCTTACACTCACTTTCTTTGACAAACCAGGCAGACAGCAGTATAGGAAATGTGTATTTAATCATTCTCTTGAATGGTCAGAACTCTAAAATCAAGTTTTCTATAACAAAATGTAATACAGTTATGGTGGGTCCCAAGTGCCAGGGAGGCAGCGTCTGCCTGCGTGTAAAGTGTGGGGGGAGGGCTGCAAACCAAACATTCTTTCCTATCACAGCTTTATTCCTCAGGGCCTCGTCCCAAAGGTTTATCGTCCCTGCTTTCAGAAGTCTCTGTGTTTCAGGAAGGTACATGCCCCTGTCACCTTGATTTGAATTTTGACGAGGCAGCGTTCTGAGATCTAAGCTCTGAGTGAGAGCACTTGAGATGGAACTCAAGCAGTCTCTCACAGAACTTGACATGTACAGAAAAATGAAGGGAAAGGAACTTAGAAACTCAACCGGCTGCCGATAATCCCGTCAGGAATCCCTGGTTGCCCCAAACTGAGCTCTGGCTCCCTTTTTTCTGGACCCTTTTCTACTTTACATCAGGGTTTCTTTACCTCAGCGCGATAGACATTTGGGGCTGGATAACTCTTTGTCGTGGGTTAATGTCCTGTACATTGTAGGGAGTTGAGCAGCCTCCCCGGGTTCTATTCTCTAGGTGCCAGTAGCACCCTGCACCCTAAACTGTGACAACTAAAATTGTCTCCAAATATTTCTGAATGTCCCCAGGAGGTTGAAAAATGACCCTGGCTGAGTAAGCCCCATTACTCTGGTTAATGCTGTTGAAAGCCAGCTTCGTCATTGTCCATGCAGGATAGAAAGTAGAAGCCTCAAACCTTGTGATGACATAATGCCACATGCACTCAACGTGACAGGCCTTTCCCCGACCATTCAAGGCTGAACATTATCTGAGAAATAAAATGGCGTCTGTTTGTTTATAAAAACAAGGTGCTCAGAACATTTAGAAAATCAATGTCACCCAACTATGTTTTTCTACGTTACGATTGTGGTCATTTCCCACATATCTTTAGCATTGATCGGGTGGGAGGAGATGCAGAAGTGCTTTCAGAAGCATCATAATGAAGAACGACTCATTTGAGCCATCACCAAAACGCAGCCACCACTGAATTGTGAAGTGGCAGCTGATTAGCAGCTTTGTACTGTGTCCACTACAGTTTAATTTGTGGATTATAAAATGTGGACGTATTGCAATAGAAACTTTCTAGAACTTTCCTCAGAGCAACACTACAGCAATATAATTAAAGATTCAGAGATAAAGGAAATGCATTATCCCATCCTCTCACTCCCCAAACGGGGTGGGTAAGGGGAGGTCCCTAAGATATGGGGGTACACTTGTCTCCATGTGCATTTTAGCAGTCTTATCACACTTCTCCAGTTCAGATGAATTATTTTCCCAACTGTTAATACATGTCTTTGAAGATAGATTTATCTTGTTCGTATTGGAATCTTCTATGGGTCGCTTTTGGCTTCTTTTTGCTTCTTGATCTTATATGTTCACCCCAGACTTCTAGACATGAATTCATTTCCCCCAAGGAGTATAAAACTAGGTCAGGTCTTGCGGTGAAATAGTTCTGCGGAATCCTGGGATTCTGAAAATAACAGCAATAAGTTACAATTACATCCATTTGGCAAACATCAGTTGAGAACCGGAAATCTCCCTGCCACTGTCTCAGAGTCTCACTTATTCAGAAATGGTCTTATTTTTCTGCATTTTGATGATGTTCTATCAAGGCCACATGGCACCATGGGCTGCGGGGGCGGAGGGATGGCTTGAGTCTTTCCTTAAGGGAGGGGGTCACCTCAGAGCAGGTGCTGGGGGGCTGGTTGACACAAGCACCTACACAACCCATCCCCCACACCATTCATGATGCATCTCACCTGTCGTACCAATGACTGTGCATGTTTTTGCGTGGCCAAGGCCCATTATTTGAGCATCAGGTAAGAGGAGAGAGACAGGAGTACCCAGCCGGTGGCAAAGAAAGAAGAGACACAGCGGGATGCCTCTGAGTCCAGCAGCTCTAGGTGACTCCGCCTTTTAATCTCAGAGTCTGTGAAGGGAGAGAAAAAGTTCAGGGTCATAGGGAAAAAGCTCTATCTTCTTCACATGGCTGGTCAGCAAAGAAAAGTACTCGGAAAACAGAACAAGTTGTTCCTAATACAACATGTACCCCAATTTGGGGGCAATTTTGTACCCCATTCTCTAGCTTTCTGTAACGGGCTTGAAAGCAGAGCTTTCCCTTTCTTCAAAGGAAATTCTGTTTTGTGGTCCACTCCAGCAAGCTCTCAGAGAAATGAAAAACTACACCAATAAAGAGGTCATTATTGGTTACCAAATAAAGAGCAGGCTAAATAAACAGCCCTGGCTGGTCCTTGGTTTCAGACACATTTGTTTTTCTTCCAGGCAGCAACCTTTACAGGTTCTGTGTTATTCGCTTTCTGCACACCACTACAAAGTGATGAGAAAGGATTGTTCTCATTTCGAAGCCGAGAAAGGTAGAAGTGAAGAAATTAAATTACTCCCTGCTCCATTTTCTCCCTAGACAGTCCAATCTCATTTAGTTCATTTCAGCTCTGACACTTCCTAGCTGTTTGACTTTAGGCAGGTTACTCAACCTATATGTATTCCAGTTTCTCCATCTATAAAATAGGACTAAAATAATAATAATAATAATAATAATAATAATAATAATAATAATGTACTTTATAGGGTTCTTAGGAGGATCAATGAGTTAATACATGCAAAGCACTTAGAACAGCGCTTGGCACACAGTAAGCACTCAATAAGAATTAGCTATAAAAACAATAACAGTAACCCCACTTAAGCCTAATGGGCATTGCTTTCATTAAGCTGATCATTTATTTTCAAATTCACCTCCTCAGCCCGAACTCTGTCCAGAGTTCCACAGCTGGATTTACAGTTAATACTGTGTATGTCAGTCATAAACATAATTGTTCAGTAAATATTTTTGAGTACCTACTGTTGGGGTTCAAAGGAGTCCAGTAAACAGCACCCCCTTCCCACCTGAGTTCTGAATCAATGAAACAGTAGGACAAGAAGAGGGAGGAAACTGGAAGACAAAAACGTCACCTTTATCACTGAGAAACCTGATAAAGAATGAGCCTCAGTGAGCTGCACGCAGCCCAGACCTCCCCAGTTGCAGGCAGCACACATGGGGGAGCCTTCCTCCTCCTCCAAGGGCAGATTCTGCCCCTGAAAAACTGATGGCTTTGGGGGAGCTGAGTAGAAATTATACTCCCTGAGGGTTAGCTAGAGAGAAAAGGCAAAAGGAGGGGCCGAGCTTCTTATGTCCAGCTGCTTCGAATAAACTCACCAATCAGATAGATGAGTAATGCCTCCTTCTCTGGTGAGGCGTGAGAGAGGGGAGAGGAGAGAGGCAGAAGGGTTACACTGCGGGGGAATCTCTTTTCATGGAAGGAAAGACGTGGCGTCGGGGGAAAGCATACTCCCCCAAACCCATCTTCTGCTGGGTAATGTGCGAAGCATCGGGCATCTCTACCTGGATCCACCACGGGCACTTTCAAGTCAACATCTCTAAACCCTCCTCTTTTGCCATGCGTGTTCCTTCTCCTGTGTTTGCATTTTTTGTTGGTAGCCTTCCTAACCAACCTCCTAAGCAACCTGGGTAGACAGATCAGACCCATGTGACTTGCTCTTTCTCTTGTCCTTCCCATTTGTATCCCGAAGGCCTGTAGATTATTTTCTTCGTGAACTTTTGATTCTTCTCCCTTTCCTTCCGGTTGCCGCCACTGCCGTGAGGGCCCTCCGAGTTTTTCCCCTGGACGTGAATGTAGGCTCCTGCCTTCCTGCCTTCCTATCTATCAAATCCATTATTCTTCTTTAAAACCCAGCTTAAACTCTGCCTCACCTACCGAACAAGCAGTCCTAATTAACAGCTCTTTCCCCTACAGTGACTCGTTTCTCTGTATTTATTGGGATGTACATATTGCTTTGTATGTGTCTGGAACACAATAGATAGTTGTTGAATGTATGACCTGAATTAGCCGTAAAGTCAGAGAACACAGGATGGGAACCCCATGGCCTCATCCAATTGTTTGAAAACATGTGGAATACCTACTGTGTACATGGCAAGGACTGTGTACATGTTATTTTCTTAACTCTGAGCCATGTCGTGCTACCAAAAGTTGTATTTAGTCTTAGTACTGATACGTGAAACCCTGGTTCTGATGTATCCAATAAGCATGTATGGGAAAAGAATCTGCTCACTGAATGAAAGTTGTGCTCAATTTCTGTGGTTTGTTCAGTTATTGCCCTTTCTGTTAGAAGACATCAGTTATACAGTTGGGAGCTTTTTATTGAGATCTAAACTGAGATACTGTTGTTAACACCCATTGTTTCGAATGCCCAACTCTCTCTTTTGGGAAGGCCTTCCATCAGGTACTGCCTCATTGGTTTAGGTGTGGGCAGCTGGTCCATGGTGAGCCTCTCTGGGAATGTAGACTTGGGCCGAGGGATTGAGGTTCAGTCTGGTTAATCGGAGTGAAAGAGACTTTTAAAACCAGGAGCTCTTGACATTCACATTCTGCTCTATAGACTAAAACAAGAGAAAGTAAATTAGAGAGTAAAGAGAGAATCCAGTAGACATGAGACAGGAAGAATCCCAGTGGAATTTAAGTTCCTGAAGCCATATTGCAGCACTGTCCTTAGTTCCACGTGACATCCCAATACCCTTTTAGTTAGGCTTATTTGAGTTGGTTTTCTGTTATAGGTAACTAAGAGTGTTCTAACCATTACAGTCACCAATTTGTTCCACAGGATAGTGAAAGCGCTCTCTTTCATATATACAATTTTTTATCAGATACTTTTTTATTGTTGTAAACACATAACATAAAATTTGCTATCTTACCATTTTTAAGTGTGCTGTTCAATAGTGTTAAATATATTCACATTGTTGTGAAACAGATCTCCTAAACTTTTTTATCTTGCAAATCTAAAACTCTGTATCCATGAAACAGTGAATCTCTTTCCTTCCTCCTTTCCCCCAGCTCCTGGTAACCACCATTCTACTTTCTATGTCTATGAACTTGACTACTTTAGATACCTTATATAAGTGGAATTGTATAGTATTTGCCTTTCTGTGATGGGATTATTTCACTTTGCATAATATCCTGACAATTCATCCTTATTGTAGCATGTGAAAAGATTTCCTTTTTTTAAGGCTGAATAATATTCATTTGTGTGTATATACTACATTCTGTTTATCCATTCATCTGTTGATGGACATTTTGTGTTGATTTTTCCTCTTGGCTATTGTGAATAATGCTTCTGTGAACATGGGTGTTTCAATATCTCTTCGAGCCCTACTTTCAAGTCTTTTGGATATACACATAGAAATGGGATTGCTGGATCATTTGGTAGCTCTATTTTTAATATTTTAAGGAAACTTTATACTGTTTTCTGTGGTGGTTGCACCATTTGCAATCTCACCAACATGCACAAGGGTTCCAATTTCTCCTCATTCTCACCAACACTTGTTATTTTCTTTTTCTTTTTTTTTTTAAATAGTAGCCATCCTAATGGGTATGAGGTAATATTGTGGGTTCCATTTACATTTCTCTGATGATTAGTGATGTTGAGCACTTTTGCATGTCCTTATTGGCCATTTGTATATGTTCTTTGGAGAAATGTCTATTCAAGTCCTTTGCCAATTTTTTGCTCTGATTATTTGATTTTTTTTGTTGTTGAGTTGTAGAAGTTCTTTTTGTATTCTGGATATTAACCATTTATCAGATATATGATTTGCAAGTATTTTCTCCTATTCCATAGGTTTCCTCTCTCTCTCTCTCTCTCTCTCTCTCTATATATATATATATATATATATATATATATATATATATATATGTATATATACATATATATACACACATATATACACATATATAATTTTCAATAAAAATTAAGCTGATGAAAATATGGTTTATTCAATTAAAGCCAGCAAACATTTATAGGAAACTTACAGTATGCAAGGTATTCTGCCTGATACTATGCTAAATATAAGACAGCAGTTCTCTTGATATATTCCTGCTACTATAGCTTGAATTCAGTTTAGTCCCAAGAGGGATGGTCTTCAAAGTTGTAACCCAGTCTGTGCATTTCCTTGACACTGGCTCAGCCCTAGGTTTTGTGAATCTAAAGCACTCAGGGAAGCTGGGGTGCTGGGCCACCTTGGGTCCCCGCCTTCTCAGCCTGGGGGGCCAGTTCAAATTAGAACTTTCAGATTCATCCTGGGCCAATGTTAGTGGGATCCTGCATCAGTCCCAGGAGGGCTGAATGAGACTAAGGCAGACTCTAAGTATTCAGATGAAAAGACTTCTCAAAGACAAGCTAGAGCTAAACCATTGTGGGGGGACATGGGGTGCAGAACACTAGCTGAATATTTCAAAGATGTCAAATCATCGTCAGTTCTCCACGGCTTCACCAAAGCCTTCCTATTGAGTTAGACGGGCCTTAGAATCCTAAACGCTGCTCTCCAGGCAGTAAGAAGGCATACAAGATGCCATCTTTGACCTCTATGCCATAAATATTGTCTTGTATTCATCTTCTTACGTAGTGTAATCTCAACGGGAATTGTGATCAAGGTCTCAGTGAAGAAAACTAGAGCTTTCTGTGGCCTGGTACATAATATCTCTGTTGTAGATTTTCATTTAGGTTTGTTTCTTACCCCAATAGACCCATACTAAAGCATGAAGGAACCCACCTGTCACTTTGATGTCCCCCGTGGCCTTGGCAATGCTGTTCTTAATCATGCAGGAGTATGTGTTGTTGATTGTGACATTGTAGAGCACAGATACAACCTTCATGGTCACGTTCTCAGAGTTCAGCTCAAAGCTGGTGTTGGCGGCTTCTGAGAAGTTGGCTCTCTGGTCAACTTGGGATGTCCAGACCACTGTAGGCTGGGGGAACCACCGGGGCGCCTCGCATCGAAAGCTCTCCGAGCTGGCATTGTAGTCTACATCTATCTCTGGGATGCTGAAGGCTGCAGGGTTGAAGGTCAGAAAAGACAGATGTCATGGTCAGACAGATAAGATAGGCTTTGAAATGCTAGGTCTTAGAAACACAATCATTTCCGCCATGGAAGTGACTGAGTACTTCCCCAGCGGGCTGTCTGGGAATGGCCCCCTGTGCTGTAGATGCAAATAACGATTATTCATAGTGCTGCTCTCCATCACAGCTCTGGCCCATAGCACAGACTCCAAGGACCTAAGCTCTAGGTATAACTGTTACAATAGATGCATTTCTCCATGTGAGAGGGGTTCTGGTGATCACAGAAAGGCCTACCCGTTAGGGAGACTGGGTTGCTTCCCAGGCACCCGTGAAGCCTCCTGGACTGTATGTATTTTCCTGCTGGAGAAAATAGTTTGGGTGCGGAGGGAGAGGAAGTAAAACCAGCTTTCACCTGTCACCCAGAGAAACCCCATCCACAAGCCTTGTGCTCATGGGGTTTGGAGTTTCCTTGGGCCGAGGCTGTCCTGCTGTGGTATCTAGGTAGAGAGACAGGCTCTTGTTTTCTTCTGAGATCCTCCTCCTCACTGGGGAGGTAACTGCATTTTGACATTAGGACCAGCTCCCTCCTCTGTCTAGGCAGAGAGACACTTGTAGGAAATGTTCAGGCCTGGACTTTTGACTGTAAAATGCTTGTTATGCCCAAACAGCAAGATATAATTTATTAATTTCTTTAGCAGCTTCCTTTGCCCAGGACTGTGCTGGTGCTGCGTGAGTGGAGAAAGGAAAGGCCTTGCTTTTTGCCCTGAGAGAGCCTGCTGTCCGGCAGGGCAGAGGACACTCCTGCGCTTGGAGCACACAGGGCACAAGCTTTTGGGAGATGCTGTGCGAAACTGAGTGTACACGACAATGAGACATCATTTACTGAAGGGATGTCCTGTGCAAGGTGCCAAATTCCAGACATTATTTCGTTAGCTCCTCACAACAGTCCTAAGGATACCTAGTATTGTCCCCATCTAAAAAAAATTAGCGCTTGCTTTTGGAATCATTTCAGATTTATAGAAAAGTTGCAAAGATAGCACCAAGTTCTTGTATACGCCTCACCCGGTTTCTTCAGTGTTAGCATCTTTGATAACCGTGGCCCACTTGTCAAAACTGAGAACCATCACTGCGCATGACTGTTAAATAAACTCCAGACTCTGTTTGGATCCTACCCATTTTTCCACCAATGTCCTTTTTCTGTCCCAGAATCCCATCCAGAATACCACAGTGCATTTATCTGTCACATCTTCTCGGGTTCCTCTGGTCTGGGACAGTTTCCCAGTCTGGCCATGTTTTGGATTCCCGTGACAGTTTTGAGCTGGTCAGGTATTTTGTAGGGTGTCCCTCGACTGGAACTTGTCTGGTGTTCTCCTCACCATTAGACTGAAGCTGTGGGTGCTGGGGAGGAAAACTACAGGAGGTAACGTGCCCTTCTCATCATATCACGTCAGACAGTGCGTGCTGTCAACGTGACTTATCGCTGATGCTGTCAGCTGTGATGGCTGAGGCAGCGTGTGTGAGGTTGATGTGGAAGCTGGACTTCACTAGGCCTGACACACCCTGAGTGTGGTGGGGGGTGGGGGCAGGGGGAGAGACCTCCATACGTATCTGAAACAAAAGATTTGTTTCATCTCTCTTGTATTTACTTAAGTATGGACTCCTTGTGTTCATTTTATACTTAGAGTTATAATTTAATACTGCATTGTTTATTCGGCTGCTCATGTTTCCAGTGGAAGCCCTTTCAGTTGGCTCCAGTGTCCCTTTGACGTGACCATATGAATCCCCATCTTAAGGTAAAGAAACCGACATTCAGCAGGGTTGCCTTGCCCAGGGCACTGTACAGGCCCAGGCCTGGCTCCAGCTCTGTGCTTCCAACCATTACATACACGTGTTATGAGGTGTCCAAGAAAGGCCTGTGCAGACCAGCTCAGGCCAGGAGGCCTCAGGCAGCTGGCTGCCTCTCCTTCAAGGCTCCCCTCCAATGCCACCTTGTCTCCATGGGGGCTTTCCTGTCCCTCCCCTCCCTGTGCATTTGGACATGACCTCTCTGTTCATCTGACTCTCCAAATCAATCCATTTATATTTCTCTTAAAGCATCTGATACACTCTACCAATTATTATAGACATTTACATATTTTTCTTATTTTTGCCCCAACCCTCAACTCTATAAGCTGTACACTAGGAGCCCTGTAAGTGGAGGGGCAACCACGTTTGTTTCTTGATCATTTTTTTATTCTTTCCAGTATCTATCTGAGTCCCTTGTACATAAATTCAGAAACCATGTTAAATTTAGTAGGTAAGGAAGATTGGATTTCACTGGGGGAGGATTAGTGAGTTTATAGGACAAAATTGTTTTGTTTAATTACCTATGAACTTCTCCTATAGTAAGTTCCACTGTCATAAGTCCCCGAAGGTGTTGATTCCAGACTTGGGCTAGGGCCTACTTAGCAGAGAAAAGTCTCAGGCCAGATTATAGTATAGGTTTCTCTTACTCGCAGCAATAGAGGCTCCAATAAAAGAGACTGTATTTATTTTGGCAAAATATTCCAGGGAATATACATGAAAACTCAGAAGAGGCTAGAGCCCTGAACAACATTTTAAGACCTAATATTATAGCGGTCTTGGACAGCATGGATGGCTGCTCGCAGAATTCGAGGATCTTGTCTGATACGAGTCACTCATGAACATAATACCATATTTCATTAGCAAACCACGTTCTTTAGCCTCCAGTATCTTTTGGCACTTTCTTTCCCTCTCTCCAAAAGTCACTCACCTCCAGTTTTGTACTCAAGGTTCGCATTCCCCTTGCCTTTGGAAGTGACGATGTAACATTTGTAGGTGCCAGCATCTGTGAGTTGCACGTTTTTCAACCTCAGGGAGGCATTGCCAACTCTCACTTGATCAGCAAACACAGCTGTCCGGCCTCGGAACATCTCATTCTGGTCTGACAGGTCATCTTTGCCTTCTTTGAACTCATGGACCAAGCCCATAATGCCTTCCTTCAGCCACCGTATCACGATATCAGAAAGCTTGATGTCAGGTTCAAAGGTGCAGCTCAGGATCCCGTCCTCCCCGATGTTCCCAGCTGAGGCGAGAGTTGTGACTGTGACAGAACGTGTGCCTGAAATCCAGGAAGCAAGCAAGGGTCAGTGCCAAGGAACTTCTACAACCCAAACCGTCATTCCTAAAAGCCAAACAGAGACTTCTATAGTAAGTGAGAAATGGAGAAGCACAGGAGAGGCATAAAAAAAGACATAAGGAAGATAGAAAGAGGAGGAAGATAATAGTTCGGATATCTATAGCAGATCTGCCATAAACAGTGGCTTTTTGAGCCCAAGCAACCCAAACGGTGAGGGGCAACAAGAGGAGACTCTACTGAACTTGGGGTCTGAAGATGAGAATTGAAGTCCTGGCTTTGTCACTTAATATCTGTGCGACCTCGAAGAAGTCATGTAACCTCTCTGGATCTCAGAAAAATGGAGGTAAAGATATCTGTCTTACTTACTTTAAAGAGTTCTTGTGGGGATCAAATCAAATGGATGTGCACTTGATTTGCAAACTATAATTATACGTAAGAAGTACTGTTATTCTTAGTTAACCGGAAGTGGCTCAGAAGTGAAACCTCATGTGAACTAAATGTGACTAGTAGTTCTGAAGAGTGCTAAAGTGTTATTACTTTTATCTCCATTTGAATGATGAGGAAACTAAGGCACAGAGAAGATAAGTGAGTTGGTCAGGGTTATAGTGCTAGCCAGCTATGGCATAACGAAGAATGGTACTTAATTAAATTGTTTCTTGGCCTAAGATAGAAGACACTCCCTCCTCTCCAAACATATTACCAGTACAATATTAATTATGGTGCCAGCCATGTCCATGGCCTCTTTCCCACTCGGCCGGCCTAGAGCCCTCTCAGTCTGTGAAGGGTTGACCAGATGTTCTTTCTGTACTGGGGGCTGTCGATTGGTGGTGCCTGTAGGAGTGATTTAATTAAACCACTGAATCTTGTTGGGAGGTTGCTGTGGTTTGGATGTGAAGCTAAGGAGAGGATGGGTCTTTGAGCCTAACAGGAGACTGGAGCAGACACAAAAAAGTATGGGGGAGACACGATGAGAGAAAGATGAAGAGTCACCTGTCCCCAGAGCTGTCTTGGATCCTGAGGGTTTTCAGGTCCAATTCCAGTCCCAACCTCTGAGTAACCTTTAAACAAACACCTTATATTAAAATGGTCTGCACGAACCTCTCTTTCTCCCAGCCCAAAAAGTCCAACATGATGGGTGCTGGATTTCTCAGCTTCCTTGTTGGTATTCCCGCCTCTTACCTTTGCCTCCATCCGATCTATTTTACATGCATTCATCTTACAGGTAGACCTTCAAGTACAATCTGAATATGTTCGTTTTCTAATCACCAATCTTCTATGGTCCCAAAGGCTGCGGAGTAAAGTTCAGACTGCCCAGCATAGCTTTCAAACCTAAATATTGCATGGCACATAGGAAATGCCCACATTTAATAGCTCTTATTGCTTTATGGCCTTATTTCTACCATTATAGCCTTATTTCCAACTCCATTCTTCCATAGTTGGTACTGTTTATTTCTATCAAGTGATTTATTGGTTTTTCTGATTTCAATGGAAAAATACATAAGCAAGGCATACTTGGTATTTTTCAAATGTAAGAGGTAAACATTATGAATATAAGGATATCCTCTCTCGCCTCTCCCAGCCCATAAGGGGTTGGAATTGTACAATTGGCTCCTAGGGCTTTATAAGTAGATGAAGGTAGTGGATGAGGGACAGCCATGGAAAAGCTAAGCGAGAGGGATTTATATGAGAAAGAACAGAGAGCCACTGATGGAAGAAAAATCTTAAGTACAGAGGAACTTGTGCACCAGCTGGGCTTTGGGGTGTGGAGAAGAGAGGCTGAAGCAGCTGCCACGTGTGGCCATTCATGTGGGGGATTTGGGAGAGAAGAGGTGAAGGAGTATGGCATGATGTCTTGCTGTGTAATACGAATGCAACACACCCCATACCCTGCCCTTGCATTTTTTTGGAACACTACTTTAAAGATTTCATCTGCTTTTCAGTTATTTTTGCTTGACAGACTGATATCCAAGACATCCCAGGCTAGTACTGGTTATGCAATTATATGATGCATTTTCACATCCCTGTTCATCTCGCACCTACAGTGTATAGTTCCTTCCTCTCCTCCATCACGAGTTACCCAAATTCTACTTATATGCAAGACTGTTCAGATGGCAGTCCTTGCATGAAACTTGCTTTTGATCTACTGAGACACAATGAACAGATCCTTTCTTTACTCTTCCTGACACTTTCCTTTGACTTTATTACAGCAGCTGTCCCCCTCCACCTTGTCTCAAGTCTATTCTGGCACTAATTTGTAAGCTTTTCAAGGGCAGAAGCTTTTAAAATCATATTTGTAATCTCTATAATGCTGCGATGATTAATTTTACTGGGGCATAGGGTGCCCAGATATTTTGTCAAACATTTTGGGTGTGTCTGTGAAGGTGTTTCTGGATGAGATTGATATGTGAATCGGCACATGGAGTAAAGAAGGTCACGCTCCCTAGTGTGGGAGGGCCTCATCCAATCAGTTGAAGGACCTGACCAGAACAGCAACAACAAAAAGGCTGAGTAAGAGGGAACTTCTGCTGCCTGACTGCTTGGAGTTCTGAAACATTGTCTCTTGGGTCTTGAGCCTTCTGGCTTTCAGACTGGAACTACGTCATTGGCTCTCCTGGTGCTCAGGCCTTCAGACTCAGACTGGAACTCAGCCGTCTGGGTCTCCAGTTTGCTGGCTGCAGACCTTGGGAATTCTCAGCCTCACTAATCGTGTGAGCCAATTCTTTCTAAGTCTATCTCTTTCTCTTTCTCTCTCTCTCTCTCTCCACACACACACACACACACACACACACACACACACACACACACGCTATTGGTTCCATTTCTCTGGAGAACTCTGACTAATGCAAATTTTGGCACCGAGAAGTGGGGGTACTGCTGTAATAAATGTCTAAGCATGGGGGGAAGCTTTGGAGCTGGGTAATGGGTAGAGGCTAGAAGAGTTTTGAGACGCATGCTGAAGAGATGGATGTTAAGGGCTATTTTGGTGAGATTTCAGATGGAAATGAGGAATGCATTATTGGAAACTGGAGAAGAGGCAATGATTGTTACAAAGTGGCAAAGAACTTGGCTGGACTATGCCCTAGTGGTCTGTGGAAGGTTGAACTTGTGAGTGATGAAATTGGCTATTTCGCTGAGGAGATTTTTAAGCAAAGTGTTGAAAAAGCAGCTTGGTTACTCCTGACTTTATATAGTAAAATATGGGAGAGGAGAGAGATGAATCGAAGAAGAAATTGTTAAGCAAAAAGGAACCATGACTTGGTTCCCAAGATTTGGGAAATTCTCAGCCTATCCATATTGCAGAACATGAGAAGGTTGTCCTGAAAAGAATGCTAAGGGTGTGGCCGAATGCCCATTTGATAAGGAGACAGTAAAGTGTGACCTAAGGGCTTCATCAGCCACCTCAGCAGAAGCCAAGAGCAGAGATGGGATCGCACCAGCAGAAACACTGCCAGTTGGGGGCAGGAAAACTAAAGGGGATAGGAAAAAACAAGAAAATTAAGAAAGGCTGTCAGACTTCTTAGATCCTATAGGACTGGACCATAGAGCTGCGAACATGTGCTGTTCTTCGAGAAAAGGGAAGAATAATCCTAAAGGTGATTCAAGGTCATTAGGGGCTGCCTGCTGGGCTTCCAAGAGTGACGCCCTCACCTCTGTTTCAACAGGCCAGAGGAACTTTGATGGAAGTCTTAGAGATGGTGCCACCTGGGGTCTGGGGTGACTTCCCAGCCTCTAGAAAATATATTTCTGTTGTTTAAGCTACCCAGTCCATGGAGTTTTGTTATGGCAGCCTGAGCAGACTAAGACAAGTGCCTAATGCTATGTCTCTACAGAGAAAAATAATAGTTGTTGAGTGAATGAATGAATGAATGGAAATCAGTGGAAATTAAGGCATAATGGTTCTATCCAAAATTATTATAGGAGTAAAGAACATTCGGCAGGATTATACATCTAAATTTTGGGGAACTGTGAGCCAGTGAAAGAGAAGGCAGTGAACATACACAGATTCTCAATAAAGTCATGGAGCAAATGTAACTATGTGAGAGCAAGGGCAAATTTGATTGGAGTTTCTAAAGAGCCATTAAAGCTAAATTGAAAAATTACTTTCCAGAAAAAAAAAATAATTAACACAGTTTATGGAGAGAATGAAATGATAATGACTTATTTCAGTATGGAAATTGTGCTACTGAGTTAATTTTAATGTGTTGGCCTTGAGCCCACAGGTGGAGAATTTGTGGAAATCTCTCTAAGAGAACTTAATGATTAAAAGTAGGCAGCTGTGGGGTGCCCCAGAGACTCACTGCAGGCTCTAGCCAATTTAAGGTTGCATTAAGGATGTGGCAGATGGAGTGAGTGTAATGCTGAATAAATCCCACCCTCCCCATATCAAATCAAGAGGAGGAATAAAAGCCAGTGAGGACTTAAAAAACCATCAGGACCTGGCCATTACTTGGCACCCAGAAAGCAATCAATCAATACTTATTTGTGAGGTGAGAATGAATGATGATTAAAAGTGATAAAATAAAATTTCAGCATATACCTATTGCTTCTCACAAAAAGAAATCTGTATACAAACTTGCAAACAAATGTTGGCTCCAGGAGCTGTGTTCTAGAAAACACAGTCTGCTCTGATAGGACCCTCCAGGCCTCTGAACCACCAGGGGCTCCTGTGCCACCTGGTGAGCCAAAGAGCTCCAGAGGTGGTCTAGAGGCAGCTGTCAGTGAATATAGAATCCCGGTAATTTAAGCAGTCCCCATTTTAAGGATTTCAGTGGCCTCTAAGATTCCATCAAACTTCTTTAGAGTTGCAAGACCCCGTCACTTACTGAAAATGAATTCTGCAGCTCATGAGAGCTAATTACTGTCCCAGCTCTGGTCTGCGTGGGAAAAGAGCTAGCTGTGAAAGGGAGCAAGCTGACCCACACCCGTTCTTATTCACATGGGTGGGCACTGTTCTACTGGAAAGTGGGCTTACAGGTAACACA